AGGGACGAAACCCGCTGCATTGCGATCGAGCCGGTGAGCCGGGGCGGGCAACACGAGCGGCGGTCGCTCTTTTAACGACGGGAGGCGGCCAACACAGGCGACTGGCCAAGTGCAGTTGCAGTTGCAGTTGCTGGAATCGCCGGAGAGCTGATGGTTGGTCGCGGGACCAGGGAATTCCATCCAGGTATTAGGTATTATTAGTGTAGGTAGGTAACTTTGGGGGGACGGAGTGACTGGAATGAGAGGGGTGGCTCGAATTACGTTGTTGAGGCACAGGCAATGTATAACAACAGACGGGTTATGAAGATAGATAGTCTATAGAAAGCAGTTCACTGGCTGAGTCTATAGCAAGGTTTCGCTTATGACCTTGCGACCTCGAGATCAAGACGGACGGACCATTGAGCACGGGCACGGGGCCTTGGTCAGAGGGGAACAGAAAGCTGGGAGGGATACGTAAGGATGGATGGGCTGCAGATCGTGGATGTCGGTGGCTGCAGGTCAACCGTGACGTTTTGGGGCCTGTTCGACCTTGTTAGTGTAGACCCGCAGGCAATGGGAGCTAGTAGTGTGGACTATTAGGTGGTAGGTTAGGTACCCGGTATACTTATTTATTTAGAGGCAGACAGGTAGACAGGTAGACAGGTAGACAGGTACTATGTAAGTAGGTAGAGAGCGCAGGGTCAGGCACAACCAACCCCTGGGCCCTGCCTTAAGGGCTAGGTAGGTATGTACTACTGTAGTTACATTGAGCATGCTGCTTGGCACTACACCTGCAGTAAAGATACCTACCTAGATACGTGAGGTACTTCTTTCACGGCAGGTACTCGCATAGGTTCCTGAGGCCAAAGGCACTACCTACAGGAGTGTACATTCTAGGCAGTAGAGGAACACCTACAATTTACATGTGCGTAGTAGGTAGTACCCGATAGTGGTCGTGAAAGTGCAGTAGTGTATCTTTTAGTAGCGCAGGACCCTGATGTTGGAACCTTGAATGGTACATGTACTGTATGCAGACGCTTAACATTACGTAGGTACTTACTAAGTATAGCACAACTCCTTCATGTTTTATCGCTGAGGTACCTTACCTACCTACCTCGTGGATGATACCTACCTACATGTATGTACCTACATAGCCTCGATATCTAAGGTAGTAGTGACTATAAAAGATGTTAGGAGGCAGCGTATAGGCAGTCCCGCTTATGATGTAAAGACCCCGAGCCTTGATGCGACCTCAAACCAGAAGGCGGGATACCTTGCTACAATTTAGGACAACAACGGCGATAATATAAAGTTGCCCCGTTGCGCGCGGGCTCTAAGGCGTTTAGATGACCGAGGTATTGGTATTTTGGTGAGACATTCGATACATCAGCACGCACAGCTTAGCTTTGACGCGCCGAGGGTAATAAGCCATCGATATGGATCCTCAGCTGCCTCTGGGCCACCCGTTTTCCTCGTTTGGAATGGCTTCGGTGCGGAGGGGCGCGGTCACTCCTTGGAAATTCAGGAACATCTCGTGGTTCTCCACAGATTATGGGATGGTGGAGGAGGAGGAGGAGCAGTGCGTCGTTTGGTCGTTGGTCGTTGGTCGTTGGTGGTAAGGTACCAGCAGACCACCTACCGAGAATAGGTACAGTGCTGTCTCCGTAGGGAACCCCGGTCAGAGAGAGGTCAGAGGCAGGCTGGTCCAGATGCCAGATGCCAGATGCCAGATGCCAGATGGCGTGTGAGACTATCAGCGGGAACCACGGAAATGATCAAAACACTGCCGAATACCTACAACGTTAACCTTACTTACTTACAGGAGGCCAAGTCTTGTTGTTATTGTTATTGTTGTTGCTTGTTTGTTTTTCTTATATGCCAGGTATGCGTAGTTGTTCTCTGTAGGCTGAGACTCCATTTGGCATTTAGTGCATTGTAAGTAAGTAAACGTTGCATTGTTTGATGTCGTCAGAGACACTAATTTAGGAATTGTTGTGTTGTACTTATGCCATGCCCTGCCATGCCATGCCCTGCATTTCCATAGCCTTACTCTCTCTCTCCCACGCTGATGCCTCCGAGCGATAATATCGTGTATTGTAGTAAAGCTGTATGTCTGTATACAATCTACATACATGATATGATGGCTTGACGCCACTAGGCCATGAACTCGTACTTAGCCTCACATCCTATGGCCTAGACTACAGTAGTGTAGGAACAAGACCAGAGCTGCATTGCTAGTGACAAGTCTCTATCTCTATACGTATCATAACGAAGGACGTGGCCCATGGAAAAGAAATGGCGAACGACGGCGAACAAAAGACTTGCCTTACTACTCGGGAGATGTCGAATACACCTAGTTGACAGAATACTCGGGTTGTTTGGGGCGCAGAACGTCATTAAACATATACCCCACGGATGGTGCCGTTGACCGAGTCAATCCGAGACACCTCAACAAGTTCTTGCTGCTGCTGCTCTTCGCGTCGACTCCCGTCTTCTGGCTCGTGCTCTTCGGCAACGTTGTCTCGGGAAGCCATCCATCATGCACCTGGTATATAGAACCTACAGCATAAGATGACAGTGCAGCAGTATAGTAAGAACTTCGTTTCTGTTCTTCACTGAATATGTGATGGATGTCTCCCTGCCAAGCCGGCTGTCTTACACCTACTACGTCTATTGATTGAAGAAAACCACCCATTACATTATCCAAGCGACAAAGCATGATACACACCTACACTAGCACGCCTCATCCTAACTTAACATGACTCGGTCTTGTTTGGATTGTTGTCATGGCGAACGCTTAGATGAGAAGAGGAAAGAAAGAAAACCGAACGATGAGAGAGAGAGAGAAAGAAAGAAAGAAAGAAAGAGAGAATCCCTGCCCCGCTATCCCTGCGGCCCTAACCGAAACTCCCGGATCGACAACTCAAGACTAAGTACTGTAGCCATACAGAGTAGATTCCAATTCATCGTCTCCCCATCGTGAGTCGAGAAGAGAATATACTAGTAATACCGAGGCAAGGCTCGACCGAGCCAATCCTACAATGCTACAATACTACATACAATACTACCACAATTCAACCCCCCCAATACGACCACAGTACAGGTCCCAGTAATCTTTTGCCTTGGGGGCTACATGAAGGCCTCTTTTCGATGCAAACGAAGCTTGCTATTGCTTGTGGTATTTGACTTATAATAGTACCATGCTGGTATACCTACCATTCTCGTCTACGTACAGATTACAGATTACAGATCACACATCTCCTCCACGAACACAAACCAGTCAAAAGGCCTTGCCTGCTTGGTACTTAGTAAATATGCCTTGTTTTTTTGTGCATACCTACATACTGAATGCTGTACTATCTATCACATTTACCTACGTCGCTGTTTATTTCATAGGTGTGTCTACCTACCTGTCACATCGACGCGCCGCCGTTCTACGCATATACTCGGCGAATAAGGAGTCTTGATACGGTTAAAGAAAAAAAAAAGAAAAAAAGAAAATGGAACTGAATGCATCGCCGAAACGACGGGTCCCTCCAGGCCCACTGCACTAATGAGATCCGCCCTCTTGTCTCGTCAGCCATCCACGGTGTTGGGATTTAAACGTCCTCGATGGACTTTTTTCTTTTTATTTTATGTCCTTTTTTTTTCTTCTGCTTCTGCGGCGCCCGACCCGAGCAGGGTCTATCCCGACCAGCGATCCCGACCCGGGCAAACCGCTCACACGCGCTACGGCTAGAATGCGACTAGCTAGTAGGTACATGATGCGTACGCAATGTTGGTGTTTCATAACAATCTTGATTTGTCGTTCGTCAGAAAACCAGCAAAACCTCGACTTGGCCCCCCGAACGAACAAACCACACGACGCAATTGTGCAACGGTTGCAATTCCTATTTTGTCTGACCGCCGCGTCCGATCGCAATTCAAGCGTTGCGAATAAAAAAAATAATAATTAAATAATTAAAAAATATAAAGGGCTGCCTACGTAGGTCTACTACACTAATTACAGTAGGAGTCATCACGGGGATTACCGAGTACCCTCACCGACTTTGTCGTTGTATTATTGTTGCTACTCCAGTAAAAAAAAAATAATAGTAATAAATAAAAATAAAATAAAATGTTATACGTTGCTCGAGTTCTTTTCACTGGACACCGTGTACCCGCGGAATCACACCCAACACAATCTTCCGTCCAATAGGTGATTTCTCCCGCTGCTGGACAAGTCCCTCCTCCTCGATCAGCTGATGGACGAAGCCGGATCATACACGCTCGGACGTTTCGCTAGCATGCAATGCGTGTGCTACCAGATGTGGTGTACGCTGGGTAGCTGACCATTCTACAGTATTACGCTGCAGTATGCGTAGTAGCAGCAGCAGCAGTCAAGATACACTATTTGATTGATTGACAGATACCCTACAACAGCAGCGGCAGCACATTATGGGGGGACCCTGTAAGTAAGCAGGATTTGATTGCCAGCTTTTTGCCAGCTTGTTTACTTACTTACTCTGCTTATGCGCGCACACAACAAGCAAGCAAGCAGCGGGCGTTGTATCCCTCCTCAGCCTCATTGTTGACGTACATACACAGTGCACCTTTCACTTCGCAGAAAGCCGAGATGGTGGATCACAGTTTGTTTCCACTATGCCCTACATATATCCAATCCACCAGTGGTCTGGTACTCGGTATCCGAGTCCTGGGCTGACATCGTGGATCTACTTACAGTAACTCAATATGGATTATGCGATTTTTACTATTACCGTATGGCGTAGGTAGTCTAATAACTTTGTCGTGAACTTCAAATCCTCCAGTCCCATGTAAGATCTACCCCACGGTTACCTTAACGAAACCTCAAGTAACTACTCGGGTAAGCAGTTTGACAGGGAAACGAAACAGAAGAGAATTAGTTCCACTCGAAAGAAATTACGTTCTAGGGTTATTTATAAGTAATCCCCACGATGACCTGCGTGCCTACTTATCCCTGGAGGCGACAGCTCTCGGCTATCCCCATACCATGGCAACACCGACAACGGCAGGATTTAAACCTATAACCCTGAAGGGATATGATCCCCAGTCATACACTTTAACCACTCAGTCACGTTGCCATATCCACTAGTATTTTAATAGTAGAGCGTAGTTAGCTACCCCGGCGTGTGGCTTGTGGAGGCAGGAAACAAATTGAAGTCATCGTGAACCTGGCAAGTAGTAGTACAGTGCCGAAACATTAGCGCGTATAAATCAACATTTTGACAGGTCCCGGTGGTAGGGTACGGTGGCTTTTTGACCGGACCACGCCGAAGCCTTGTCAGCAAGAGAAACAGAAGTCGCCGGGGGGCAATAATAGCCTGTTTATTCCGCGGGTCAGTCAGTCAGTCAGTCAGTCAGTCAGTAGCAATAGTGGTAGTGGTAGTGGGTGTGCTACGGCAGCTGAAATCTAGAACTCGCGCGCCGCGAAATAATCGTCCGTTCGGACGGTCGGGCCTATCGGGTCATCTGGCAACCATGGTTGATGACGACGGGGGTCTCTCTCTCCCTTCCTCCCATTCAGAAAACGCGGGTTGGAGGAGGGGGAGGAGGATGAGGCTGCCGCCACAAACAAATTACATCACCATCTACCTACTGAGGAACTTCTTCTTCCCCGCCGCATCTTGTGACAGATAGACCCTGTTGTGCTCTCTGTGTTTCAAGGGCGAACATATGACGAGAAATCTCACCCGCGGCAAGTTCCACCGCGAGTCATTGGCGACTCACGTCGGGCCACGAGATGTGAGGGCTTATCTCACCGCCGCTCACCCTGAGGTTTCTCAGAGATCGGCCGAGCTAATACCAGGGCTAGATGAGGAGGTCACGAGGGGTTATGCCGTCAAGGTGCAAAGTCAGATGGAGAAGAGAATAGGATAGTTATTATCGTAAAACGCCGTTTGCTGGCAACTAAAGTGTTCGCAGTCTATGCTAGATATCCAACGCACCAAACCTAGACAGTAAAGGTATTCAATTTCACATGCCTCCTCATCTCTTCTTCCCCGAGAAAATAAGAGTCCGATCAACTGCCCGTGCTCGTGTTCGTGTCGCTCCGTATTCTTCCGTGTAATTCGTGAAACAATGCTCGTGTGATGCAACCATAGATCCTGGAGAGAATATGCCAATAAGAGAGAGAGAGTATGTGTACGACCGCCGAGCTCTTTCTCGTCCTCCTCGAGGTCCAAACAAACATGAACATTCTGGCAAAATTTCAATTTCCCTTGAGAACGCCGCATTACCCATACCAATCAATCCCTGAGGAAGGTCGTGCAAAATTATCTATAAGTGGAGTTTGGCGGCCGTAAATCATGTGTAAAATAATTGCCTCCATTACGTCCGGCGTGGAGACAAGGCGGTTTTGGTTTTGTGTCATAATTGTCAATATGCTCTTGTTCGTCGCTTTCGTATCCATTAAAAAAAATTGAGAAATCACAGTAAAACGCCAGCCATCTGGCCACTAGGTGCCTTGGTGATGCAAGAATGTCGCGTGAAACGGAAGGTCGAGAAAGGACGGTGCGGTAACAACATAATTTTACGTGATCCAATTTGATTTTAATCCTCGTTCTAAGCCTCCATATAGTTAGTACCAGGCGGTGGTCATGGCTGTAGGAAACGATCGATCGATTAGTTGATCATTCATCTTCTCGCGATAGCGCGTTGCCGCCAGGGTAGACTCCGCCCTTGAGGACGTATTGCTCGAAGGGCAGACAGCTGATGGTCTTGCGTGACGATCGAACCCATCGAGGCGTGGGGACTTCTTCCCAGTTCTCGTCGGTAAGGGGGTAGAAGTTGTACGTCTCGTGCGTGGGCAAGTCTGGGTGCTCGCAGTCAAATATGCCCTCGAGGTGCATGCGCTCTAGCTTCGGCAACTTCACTCGTAGACCGGTGAATAACGATCGGAAGGTTCCTTCGTACAGGTGTATACCCCCGTGCGATGCCTCGAATGGTTTGGCCAGTCCACGACCGCCTAGTCGCAGTCGCATCAAGGTAGCACCGTGTCGCCCCAGGAACTCCTTGAGATCATCCTCATCACACGATACGCCTTCGAGTACCAGGTCCGTAAGCCGCGTGTATGTAAATCCATAAAGTAGTTCATTGAAAGAGAGTGCAAATCTCGAGTGCTCGCTCGAATACGGGTGGAATGCAAGCTTCAAATGCGTTATGTTAGTGGCGAGTTGAAGTATGCGCCCCAGTCCATTCACAGCCCGAAATGCCGACGTCGGTCCCCGGAGTCCAGAAGGGTCCAAAGTTAAGTTGAGGCTAGTCAGACTGTTGAAAGATTGCGCGTGGGTATACCAATGCGAACGGTGGTTGGACAACCGAAAAATCTCGAGCGGCAGTCTGTCGACTTTGAACGAAGAGAGCTTGACCCCGTGCAGGGCGAACATAACTGCATCTAGGTTCTGGTAGGTCTCCTGTCGGTCTAGCTTCCTGCAGTTGGGCCAGAAGAAGGCCTCCTGGATAAACTTGTTATTGAGCGTGGATGGGCATTGCGCAAAGGAAACCTCGAGATCACGAAGATTTGGCAAAGCCGAGCAGGCCTCACGGAGGTCGTCAGCCCTCAGATGGAGGGGTCCGACTTGCTTACGCCCTGCTGCAATCTTGTCAAATTCTACTCGAGCGTGTGCCATCAGCTCGGCACGCTCCTCTGGAGGGGCCACGAAGTGCTGGGCCCTACTTAGGTGTACATTAGCTAGGATTCAAGAATTGGCAATAAAAAAACAATTCAGCCGAACACTCATCCCAGTGCGCATCCCTAGGAGCATCCCCGGCGAAAGCGCACGGTGATGTTGCACGGTAATCAAGAAGGGACTTACCAGGAAGTACTCCATGCGTCATAGTACGACAATTCTCCGAGGAAAATATTGATTGACTGAATGCTCCCTCGGAGGCGTTCGTGGAGTGCGATGTTGTGCAGCCGATCAATATCAAAGCGCCAATTGAGCGACGTAAAGCGCGGGGATAGCAGGTACTCGTAGCCGACATCTGCCAGTGTCGGGCTCACGGCGCGCAAATTGGGGACGGATTCGAGATCACAGTAGGAGTAGATGAGCCGAAGGAGCTCAACCGGCAGAGAATCCATGGCGAAGCGAACGTGAGGGATTCTGCTGACTAGCAAAGCAAGGCGGCAGAACAGGCGGGATGGGAAAGTATTACTAGGTTGCTGGAAAACCCGCCAAACTCCGCCAGATAATCAAGACGCTGGATTGGATAAACACGAAACGCCGGCACAGGAAACTCGCGGCAGCAGTATATAAAAGGAGAGAAAGCTTTCAGGTGCTCGTCTGGGTCGATAGAAAGATGCAAAACTAGGAAATATATACCAGGACCCGAGGGAGAGCAGGAGGCGTTGTGCAGCGTTCTTCACGAAGAGGCGGAGAGACGTTCATTTGTGCTTTTCTGCAGCAAGCCTCTCCGATCTAGGACAAAGAGGGAAAGCGACTAGAAGTATCGGTGAGAGTGAGACACACGTAGGCACATGCCTGTATCTGACGGGCAGCAGCAGAAAAGAAGTTTTCTTGTGGAATGACTGGCGGGCGAGAGTGGCCGGACTGGGCCCTGTCGGATGGATCTGACTATCGCGCGCCTGAGCCTGACAGCAGACGACCACGAAACGGCAAAGCAGATACAGTCGCCAAAGTAGCGGTATAGTAGCGGTAAGGCGGGTGTCCCCCTTGTATATCCTTGGTGTCACACCTGCAGCAGGCTCGTCGACCATGCCCAAAAGAGGACGTTACGGTGAGAGATGCTGCACAGTCCCCCCGGATGGCCTCCTACTGTGGCCGGGCACGATTAGTACCTGCATTAGATCCCACGAGGCAGCTTGACACTGTGGTTTCTCGGTGAGTTGCGACGAGATGCGACGTCCTTCGAGCAGATCGCTGTGATTCGCCTGCATCATGCTGGGTCGCCCAGGGTGCCTGGTCGCGCGCCAGCTCGCCAGCTCAGCCGGCCCCCGAATCGCTACCCAACAGGGAGGTTTGGTAACGAGGACCAAGAAAAACTTGGTGAGACCCAGCCAGATACAGTAGATAGCAGGCGCTTTGGGTAAGTAAGTCAGTCAGTCTACTACTAAGCCTGTACCTACTGTACCTCTACACATAGACAAACCTTTCAAACACCGGTCAACATTTCTTTACATCTCTACCTGTAGTCTGATGTCCTATCTGGCTGTAATAAGCGAGGTATCATATTGGATACGAGCGACAGCCCATGAACGTCGCCCACCCTTCCACCCATCCGTCTGTCTAGTATGTCTGTCGTATCGCCAAATTTCCCATGGCATATGCGTCATATCCACCAACCACTGGTCCCGGTAAACAGGTCCTTCCAATCCAAACTGCCGGCAACGAGAGCCCGAATGGGTGGAGGCCACGCCGCCAAGAGGATCCCTCAACACGTCAGTACCTAGTCTAGCGCCAGATCCTTTCGAGACCGCAAGATATTGAATCCCTATTATAACTTTCCATGTCGTGCCCGAAAGAGTTCCACCTTGTCGTCGTAGTAAAGAATTTCACGTAGACGCAGCCGTGGGAGTGAGTTATTCGTTGCTTCGGTAAAAGAATCTGCCTCTGATTGGTCGTCGTCAGACACCTCATCCGTGAATTCACCCTCGGCGTCCATGAAGGGCTCAATTTCTTCATCATCATCAGTCATGTCATCGCCTTCGCTATTGTCGTTGATGTGATCTACATCGTCCACGGGTACGGCATGGTCGTTGTCGTCTTGATTGTTGCCACGGCTGTTATGCTCTACCTCTGTAATTTCGAAGCACTTGTCCCCAAGTCCTACATAGGCAAGTCGTATCTCTCTTCTCAAGCTACATATATCCACAATCTGAAGTGCCAGTCCTTTCGCTGACGAGAGCGAGCTGGAGTGGCGATTAATCATTCGCGGAATATATAGAGAACGTAGATTGGCCATCTGAGGCAGTCGCTGGAGAAGCGCATGCTGTATTTTATTATGTCAGCGGATTGCGCGGCAAGCGCTTTTAGACATATACTAACCCAATCTTTAGAATCGATTGCCATGCCCAATTCTCTCAAGCTCGTCATCCTACCGCTGGTGATATAGGATAAAAATT